ACACACACACACACACACATATATATATATATATATATAAAGCATAGTTAGTACCAGTTTTCCAAATATTACAATTAAAGAAATTCTTTGGTATACATACCTTTCCAAATATTCACTTCTCTTAATATAAAATTCAGAGTCACTGCTAGGATAACCTTTTTCAAAACGTTCATCCACTCCAAATGGTAGAAGTCTTCTAAAAATTAAGGACGATATTAAGTTACTAGTGGTTAGGTTCATACAAAGACATAGTAATTCATCTACAAATTTTTTATAAGCGGGAATATCATGAAAAAGTACACAAAAATAAACAAATCTTACTGATTTTTATATACATACACATGAAACAAACTTCAAACAGATTTAAGGACAGCTTACTGAGCTATGGTCAAAACATCTTAAAATTCCCTAACCTTCTGAGAAAAGTACTAAAAGATCCTTTCCATTCTAACCAACTTGGAAGATCTATGAAATAACCTGAAATTCTTTAAAACACATACCAAAATAAATAATACATGAGCAATAAAAATGACTTCATCAGTATCCTATCTAATAGTTCTGTCTCAAATATGAAGTACGTTGACACAGAAACCACAAATGTTGCACTATTAACCAAGAAAAAGTTTTAAATCAGAACACACAAGTGAACCTAAGAATCTATAACTGACTATAATCTACAAAATGTTTTTTGTATAAGCAAAATAATCAACTCCATTTGTTTTAAAACCATCAAATCAAATAGATGTTACACCTATATACATTATTCAGCAGTTATATGAGAAGTAAACCCCATTCTTTGCTTTCACACAAACACTAATGATAAATGCTGAAGGATATGGTAACATTGTTCTTCACTAAACATTTTTCAAGTTCATTGTTATAGGTTTCCTACATTATTTTAAAATTATTTATTGTACATAACTTATTATCAAATACCTACCTTCATAAGATACAATATGAGATAAGACCTGAACTCATTTTTAATTAGAAATATCTTTTTGACAGGTTGAAGAAAATAGTGCGCAATAATATTTTACCTCATATCTTGATCTTCTTTATATCGGTCACCATTTTCTTCCCGCTTTCCTTCCAATACTCGGTCTTTTTCTTTGGAACGATCTCTCAGTTTGTCTCTAAAACGATCCGATTCTTTTGAGTGATGTCTTGGTCTATCTCTAGAATGTTCTCGCTCTCTATAACGATCTCGCTCTCTAGAACGTGACCGTTCCCTTGATCTAGGTCTATGACGATCTCTCGAGTGATCTCGAGAATATCTATGATAGTCTCTATAACGATCCCTTTCTCGAGAACGTGAGCGACTTCTTCTTCTTTCACGTGAGCGACTTCTTCGTTTTTCATTTCTTCTTGGGCTCAACTGTTTTTCAGGATCTCTCTCATCATCATCATCTTCCTAATAAAAATACATAAAATCAATATTGGAAGAGAAATATTTATTATAAACAACATGATATATTTATATACAGTACAAGATATCTCCCACACAAGTGACACTGAAGTTAAACATTGTGACTTACATAATATGAAAATAAGTTTTTCAAACCTTTCATTGATGTTTTACATGTACTTTTAAAATATCAAGCACATTCATTAAGTGAATATAATATTTCACAATGTTAACATTTAAACACTTAGAAATGTTCTTAATACTTGAAAGATTACGAAATGTTTAGAGTTTAACTTTCAATTTGAGATTTCGTATCCAACATTTTGATAATTTTGATGTTAATAATGTGCACCTCACATGATTAATAACCATTACAATTTTGGAACAACTTTGTTTACTAAGGTTACACAATAACTCCCTCAAGAAAGTTAAACAGTAACTAAGAAAGTACACATCATACAACATGTCATTTATATGTTCTACTGCAAAACAATGGAGAAGAAAAGAACGATGAATAACATACAAACAAATAAGAGAAGGTACTGCAAATAGTATTAGCGCATTTTGTGTGGGTAATGCTAGTTAAATACGTGTATTCTTTTTTGCTGACACATAATTATGAAATTATTGTTTAACTAAATGCACTCAAGCGAAGATCCTTTAGCACTGATTAAACACAAATAGTTGCAGAAATATAAATCAGCAATTTTTGTTTGTTTAAATTACAATAGTATTTTTACTGGGTCCTAAAGCTGTTAATGTTCAAAGGTTATGTTTTGCACATTACATACAATTCAAATTAAGCTAACTAATAAGTTGTATTAAAATGACAAGCTATTTATACAGTTTAACCTTATGTGCATTGGTGGGGCTCAAATTGCACACACTATGAACTTTAACACAATGTCTTTCAACATGGTATTACGTATTTGATGTCAAAGTTATTAACTATTCTTTTTACCTCACACTTCTGATCTAGCAACAGTCCACAGTAAAGTAAATACCAGTTACAATATACAGGAACAAGCTGAATGCTCATCATATGACACGAAACAATGATTAATTTTTCTTCTCAAAATTATATCTAAATAAATGTTTTATGAACATGTTTTCTAAAAATTAATTATAATCTAGTTACAATATATGTATGGAGAATGACCATCCTATTTCTAGTATTTCACAAAAACAACATTTTTTATGTATATTTGATCTTCTCCTTAAAGTATTGCTTGATTAGCATTTTGACTTCTGTATATTTTTAAGTTATGTTCAAATATTCTTCTTGATAAATCCTTATAGACTGAAACTTGCAAAAAAACTGATTCTCAAAGACATATTCTTACTTGGTCAACTGTATGATCCTGCAAATTATTAATTGTGATGGTAAAGACAGTGAATTTTATTATAAATTTTGGGGTCTTCTCTTTGGACTGTCTCCTAGTTTTGGCTTTGTTAGTCTGCTAAGCTGAAGAAGCACACTTTAATTTGGGCTTGTTCAAAATTAAAATGTGCTGCGGGTAAAACATGCAGGTTATTACAGAGTTGCAGCCAAGGGTTCCAATTGGACAAAATTTGATGTTGCTACAATTTGTCTCGTTGACAACAAAGCAAATGTTATGGGGAATTTCAGCCAATGATTATGATTTTTGTGTGCCAGCAATATGAAGCATAGGGCTTGAGTATATCTGAATCAAATTTATTACTCATTAGAAACTTTACCAACCTACCCTGAAATCTAATTATGTCCAACGTAGTGCACTGTCCATTTTACACACACATATATATATATATATAGCTGAAAGAATTTAAAAAGGCAAGATTGCTTGTTGCAGCAAAAACTGCGATCATTCTGTGCATGTTGTGTGTTGAATGCTACCACAACAGCCAAAATATCAGCAGGACAGATGGATAGACAATTGGCTTTTCATCTTTATAGAGTAGATACTAGAAAGAACTGTAGATATGCATTTTGAAGGTTCTAGAGGTTACATAAATGCAATAAGCAAACTGCACGATCAACAGAAGTATTTTCATTCTTCACATGAACCATGCACTCCAACCCATCAGAGTCTGAGTTGGACTAATGCCATCAGTTCACAGACAAATATGAAGTACATAAATGTTTATAACACGTTGTTTTTTTTTGTGTAGAACAGACTTTTACATTTTACTAAAAGCTTGCCATATTTCGAGTAGATACATGTAGAAAATTCAGAATTATAATAAACATTCCTTCTCCAATAGGAGGGTCAGACCAATGGACCAAGCCCATGCACATTCAGGTATGTGTTATATTATCATGCATAATTTGCTAACATAATATTGAATTCCTCCATTTATAAAAGATGCTCATACAGCTTTGAGTAAAGTACAATTATTGTAGTTATCAACACATTGGATGAATTTATCAAATTTACCAAGAAAAAGATAAAATGGTATCTGTAATATTACATATTTGGAGCTAACATCTAAAATTAGTGCAATATTTTGGTTTATTTAATTATACAGGGAAATTCTAACTAAATAGAAGGGATCAAAATTCAGGCCCAACATAACCCTAAATGAAACAATATTGACTATGTAACACTACTACTACTATATTTTACAAACTTTTCAATTTGTAATCAACCGTTTTGAGCTTATTACATAAAACAAAAATTCTTCCATGAATATCAAACTAATAATCTATCTATATAAGATTAAATGTCTGTGTGTGTGTGTGTCCGTAAGTGTCTCATAACTCCTACTACACTGCTGGTCGCACCAACTTCTAAACAGTACCAAACAAATTGTCTCAGCCCAGAGGTTTGCACAAATGTAAAATTTTTTCTTTGTCAAAAACACTTGAAATAGAAAAAGGCATTACCCCTCCACGTCTCAAATTTCTTCCTCTGCTCTTCATACGTTCTCTCATTTCAACACTTCGCCCAAAAGAATCCTTTTCTTCCAGCACTTTCCTGCCTGATTTGTCTTCATCATGCTAATAAGAAAAATCAGAAATTCCTTTAAATATTCTTATAATAATATGTAGGCAAACAACAATTTCTAAGCATAAGGAAAATTTTATTGAAGGTGGTAAAGAAAAGATTGAAGAAATATTGTCTAAATATGTTTAGACACTTATATGATATTGCAATGTTCAATGCAAAGAATGGCAAAAAGTTGAAAAAGACTTATCTTAGAAGGGGCACATATTCAACACAAAAGTCTAATCACTTAACCAGAAGAGCAAATATGAATAGGCTTTAAAAAACAGGTATTTTCTTTCAGCACAGGCTCCGTCCCTGGGACCAACCTCGTAATCATGTTGTGCTTGTTATAGTTTTCATACTATAATTTTTAAATTAGTAAACATATGTTAATGAAATTTGTCAGATTATCAGTAAACATTACAATGCTTTCATATGCAAAATAAATTTTTTTTTTAAGTCTTAAAGTTTGTAAAGCAATGTTTTTCTCATGCCTTTTTCTTCTTTTTGCATTTTGCCTATCCAACATATAAGGTAATTTTCATTTTAAGATTAAAAATGCTTTTGTGCATGAGAAAATTTTCAAATTTCACATGCAAAATTTAT